ATCCATACACAAACAATCATTACTATATGGATACTATCCATCGCTTTGGAAAACGGAAAAGCAAAGCTATACCAAACAAAGCAAGTCCAAATATTGCACCATCTGTGATGACTGAAAATCAAGACGATGACGAATCAATGTTTGATGCCATCTCAAATGATGATCAAGCAGTACAAGATATGCTGATCAGTGTCTTTGCGTATTGGAAGTTATTGCTCAAACGTTTCATTGACTATACGGCATTATCTGTACGTGCTGGATGTGTATTTGACGTCTGTCCCAGCATTAAAGCACGTTTAAGAGAAGTTCCGCAAGAACAACCTGATTTTATTGATTTTTATCTAGCTGAGGATTCATTTGTAAGAACCAGACGAAAACAATTACAACAAACCAAAGAAAGATTGGAGAAAGTATATGCAATTCTTGGTGGTGGTGGTATTAATTTGACAAGTAGTAGCAAGGATATGGTTGAAGACCCCATGGAAATCATCGATTCTTCCTTAATGACTTTAGAACAATTGGAACAAGAATAGATCTATTTTATCGAAGACAATCACTACTCTTGACTATTAATCAGCTCCATTAATAAATGTTACCATAAGTCGATATTGAATTCATACATTGTAGTCGAAAATGCCAACAATCAAACATAAGCTCATTAATCGAAAAGTAACATATCAATAGCAGTATTCTAAAATTGAAGAGTTCAGTCTACCTAAACTCAATAAAAGTCATATTCAAGAAAATATTTGATGAAAATCATAAGTAATGACGTTGTTTTAAAAAGGGATGAACCATGTGCTACTGGTTGGGGTGTGGGTGTGGATATGCGTTTGGCTGTAGGTTTGGACGTGAATGCTAAGAACACCCACATCTACACTCACCCACACCTACACCCTGCTTTCAATCTTGTAGTCTTTGCGACACACCCGCACACATTCACCCTCCAGCATAGAAAAAGAATATTTTTGTTCTCCTTCGCCATTCACATCACTGACTTCTTTTCAATCAGCTCTTCTCAGCATGAAGGCTGCACACTCACATTTTCCTTCATACGAGAGTGGTGAGATGTTATTACGCATTACACAAACAGTTCGTGTTTTTTACTAGTTTCTATTATTGCACAGTCATATCGAAGTTTGTGATGATTGCATAAGGTGCATTGATCATTATTCTTTTATTACATTTCTCATTTAACACATTTTAAATAGCAAGACAAGCGAAAATGGCAGAAGCGGAGGTACGTTTTTGAAGTTCTTTTAAATCACAGAGCAGTTATGGAAAAAGGTGAGAACTTGTTCTTTGTTTAGCAGAAACCACTGTCCCGGTTCTTTCGAGCGTACGGATTCCCGTGCCAAGTTGACAGCGGACCAGATCGTAACGAGAAGGTCAATAACACTTGGATGAGTGAAGACGTTGATCTGATTACGAAATTTCTGGTTAAAAGGGACTTTCAGCCGGGAATAACAATGGCTGACTCGAAGGGAGCGGATGTGGAAGTTCACAAGAAAAATGAAAATTTTCCCGCCGCCGCAACTTTCGATACTTCATATGAGATTTCAATCGTTATGCCATGTCATTACCGTAATCATAACACGCCGAAGTTGACATTCGCCCTTCCGAAACTGGCGAATAGCGAAGAATTCGCAGACGACTGCCTGGTTTTTGTGTACTTAACTGGCCACGGTCTCTCTCAAGAACTAGCTAAGGATCTGCACGATTTAGGGACGAACGCCGTCAAGGAACATCTGCTTCCGAACTACAAAGAATATCCCATTAGTTTTCAGAAGGACGCATATGATAGACATGAACTGAAAGGTGGTGAAATCCTTTGCTACACATCTTACCTGAGTCTTATGGAGTATCGGTCTGAATTTACCATAGCATTTTTGAACAGATGGTGGGGTATGCGTCCACAGTTCTACGACAACAATCCGAGCGTGAAAAACCTTCATCTGGTTATTATGGCAGATTCGTGTTACTCGGGACAGTGGGAGCAACCGGCAAAGAAACATCTTATGTGGTTCCTACCAAATACTCATCTATCCATAACAGTACAAACTTCAAGTGAATTGAATTCCGCTGCACACGGCTATTATTTTACTCCCCTGTTCATTAAACTCCAAGATCTGACAGATGCTGAACTGGAAATTGTCATTGCAGATTTCAATAAGTTAACTGCCGCAGAAAAAGATGAATTACTGGAAGAAGATGGTGTTCAACAGTTTCCAACACTCAGCTACTTAGCTACTGAAGTACATCCGGATCCACCGAGCAACAGGTTCGGCAGTAGGTACGTCAGCAAACGGCTTTATCAAGATAAAGTAGTCTTACTCCGTCGGCGACGTCGTTTCTTTTTTTTTCGCATAAAAAGAGAAAGACGCAGAAGGAAAACGCTAGTGAAGGTCTAAACTTCGCCTCGATGGACTTGAGTGTGTTTCGTGGCTGAAATGTTAGCCCTTAAAACTGCTGATCGCGCTGAACTTTCCATTTTTCAAACTGAAATTGAACTGTCCAAAAATCCTCGTCAATCCTTGAGGTCGGTCCAACTATGCATACTACTATGTTTAATGCGTGAATTTAGTTTTTAGCACTCGTAGGAGAATGCAAATGCCGGAGTCGCAGATGTTGACTGTCGTAGCCCATCTCAAGTCTGCTTTGGTGAAGCGCCTTCTAGTCATGGAAGTACCAAAGATCATTGTTTAAGAAATTTCATTCAAAATAATTTTTTAAAAGTTTTCTCGTCGAAGGAAAACAGTGTGCCGTCAAAGATCGCATGGGACGTGCGGCAGACATTATTGCACACTCCTGAGGAATAGTTGTTTTAGTTAAATTGCTCTTCAAAGTATCTTGGAAATAACAGGATTAGAATACTGATCAAAACCTCGAAATATCTTCTATGCGTTTCCTGGCATAGTATGAACTTTAGAAATCTCTGATGATGTAGCCTGATACAGAATCGCGTTTTACTTTGCATGAAATAATCAGAAAATTCTATTCGTAACTTCGTTTCGCATAGTTAAGCACTGTATATGCCTTTTATCAAAAGCCGGTGTCTTCATCAGAAACGAAGTTACGACTTGGATTTTAAGGATAGTTTCATTCAATGTAGCAGGTGATCCCGTGTCAGATTACATCATCGGAGATTTCCAATGTGCACACTAATCTACGATGCAAAAGTAATTGCCGAAATGTCGAGACATGATTCTTCGTTTAGGAATATCGTAGAAAGTAGAACTTTTTTCATTAAAAAGAGCAACATCTGTACAACAAATTTTGTACAAGCCCTATTATTCCAGAACATATACGAGAAGAAAGAAACGCTTAAAACCACACATCTTTAAAAAAGTTCTTGCAACTTTTTTGAAGCTTGGAAAATGTGTCTTTCTATATTATTTTAGGCTACATTGACTATATTTTTATAACAAAATACAGCAAACTGTAGCGCATAAAAGCTATGGAAATCAGCCTTGTGAAAATATTTTAGATCCATTCTAGACTCTTTTAATCGAAAAGATTGAAAAGCTGCAATTTTCATAGAAAGGATCCTTTTCTCAAGAACTATCAATCTGGCGGAATACGAGCTATCATCTCGAGAAACCATATATGAAATCGATTTGTTTTGGCGTATTCATTCTGAATATACGAAATTTGAGGAACTTATTAAAAAGCTAGTTCGATAAGTATTTTCTATCGCTATAACACGAACAGGTAATGTAAACAACCAAATTGTTCAGTCTCTTCCAGAAAAAGCAATATGTTCCGATTAAAACCAGGAGTAAATTTAACCTCCAATAAACGATTACCAAGAGTGCCTCGTATGCTACAAAAATTACCACTGAAAGTGGTTTTTCGTCGTTTTCTGGTATTTTAAAAAATTAGTAGAAATGAAAATATTATGTTGCTGCCTGACCAAGTTGCAAGAACTTTTCTAGAGGTGTGTGATTTTAAGCTTTTCTTTCTTCTCGTATATGTTCTAGAATAATACGGCTGGTATAGAATTTGTTGTACAGATGTTGTTCTTTTTAATGAAAAAAGTTCTACTTTCTACGATGCTCCTAAACGAAGAATCATGTCTCGACATTACGGCAATCACTTTTGCATCGTAGTTTATGCCAGAAAACGCGTAAAAAATATCTCGGGCTTTTCATCACTTTTTGAGTTTTGACGTTGCCGTGATAAGTACGAGAAATATCTTCACAAAAAGTACTCCTTAGAGTTGTGTCATAATATCTACCGCACGTCCCAAAGCACTTTCGGAGAAAATTTGTTTTTTGTTTGCGAGAAAAGTCGAACTTGAGTTTTTAGAAGAATACTCAACTAATGACCTTTACTACTTGGGTGACTAGAAGCCGCCAGATCAAGACAGATTCTACCGTCGATCGACAGTGACGACTCCGTATTTGCTGTCATAATTCTCCTACAGGCCTTACAAACAAAAATCATTCAATGAAAAACATTATTCGTATAGTCTAACCGACATTAAATGATTGCCGATGATTTCTAAAAGTTTAGTTCCAATCTGAAAAAATGAGGGTTCAGAATGCTCCACAGCATGAAATCTACCATTACAGCCACAGTACACATTTAAATCTATCGAGGCAGAGTTTGGCGCTTAACTAGCGTGGTCTTTTTACACTCTGCAAACCTGGTCGTACTGCTGTTGCAAGCTTCGGCAACTAGATTTTTATATCTCTCTAGGTTTCCTGACGATACCGGAATGATGCGCTTGCGCCAGTTCGACTCTAGCGAGCTTGCAGTAAAACCTTATTTCAAAGTACACAATCTGCGCTTCTTCAACAGCAACAAACACTTCTTCGCCTTCTTTTCCAAACGTTATCACAAGAGTTTTTCGCTGGATATTGATCCATCAACATTGAAGAGGCCAATTCTCCGAGGACAGAACGCTACAGCATTCATTCGCGCCCTGATAAAGGAGAGGAACAGGAACATCATCGTTAAAGGCATGCGACTCACTCGCTACGATGAGACTATGAGACCAGCTTCCAACGATGGTGGAAGCGTGAGACTCGATTCACCACAATGCATAGCCCTGCTGCGTTCAAAAAGGGGCGACTACCAATATCCGTCTGGCCCGGACAACACGGATGAGTGCTGGTATCATCTACATGTGCATTATGATGGTGATGTAAAATGCTTTCCCGGTCATATCACACACTTGAAGGTGTTCTACGCAAGAGAATGTTCTCTCTCAAACAATGAACGAGCGAAGGGTAAGCGGACGAGAGTTGCTTTCATTGAGACCGTATCGTAGGCAGTGTGCTACCAAGGACAGTTTGCGTAATTAATTAGAAGGTAAATTGAGGGAAAAAAGTTTAGCACACTTTTCATTTTTTAAATTTCTCGTCAAGGATGACTTATTGAAAATATCCAAATGGTGATTTCAATAGATCTCAGAACGGCCTATAAAACTGAGATATGAACATTTTCTGAAGTACATGTTTTTAACATTTTATTAGACAAAAAATTTTTCTCCAGCGGAAAAAAGTTTAGCACACTTTTAATATTTGAC